CCCTTGGGGGTGTCTCCCAGGTGCTGACACAGCCACTTATAATGGAGATTGCCTATCTCCTAGAACTGGAAGGGACCTTGAAAGGTCATCAAGTCTAGTCCCCTGCCTTCACAGCAGGACTAAGTACCATCCCTGATGAATTTTTGCCCCAAATCCCTAAATGGCCTCCGCAAGGATTGAACTCACAACCCTGGGTTTAGCAGGCCAATACTCAAACCACTGAGCTATCCCTCGCCTTCCTGCCCACTGCAGCTTCTCACCACCCCATCCTGCTGGGCCAGCTTTGCTGGTCTCCCCCAGCCAAGGACCCGAGCTGAGATCTCTTTCCTTTCCACGCCCACCTCCGAGAAGCAGTACAGACACCGAACTTCTTCATATTCAAGGTGGGTGCAGTTTTGTAATGAGGTGTAACAGTTAACCCAAACTAAGGACTTAGTTCGGATTAACTTCTGACTGTGCATGTAGCCGCGGGCAGTCAGTTCGAACTAAGGGGATTTAAAAATGGCGCCTGCCTGGGAACATGCAAATGAAGCCCAGGATATTTAAATCCCAGGCTTCATTTGCAAGTTCGAATGCCTACATTAACCACCCTAGTTCGAACTAGAGGGCTAGTGTAGACATACCCTTATAGTTCTAGCCTTCACAGCCTCCTCTGGCAAAGAGTTCCACAGGTTGACTACACGCTGTGTGAAGAAGAACTTTCGCTTATTAGTTTTAAACCTGCTACCCATTAATTTCATTTGGTGTCCTCTAGTCCTTATATTATGGGAACATGTAAATAACTTTTCTTTATCGGCCCTCTCCACACCACTCATGATTTTATATACCTCTATCATATCCCCCTCAGTCTCCTCTTTTCTAAACTGAAAAGTCCCAGTCGCTTTAGCCTCTCCTCATATGGGACCTGTTCCAAACCCCTAATCATTTTAGTTGCCCTTTTCTGAACCAAGACCAAAAGATCTTTTTTGAGGTGAGGAGACCACATCTGTACACAGTATTCAAGATGTGGGCGTACCATAGTTTTATACAGGGGCAGTAAGATATTCTGTGTCTTATTTTCTCTTTCTTAATAATTCCTAACATCCTATTTGCCTTTTTGACCACCGCAGCACACTGTGTGGACGTTTTCAGAGAACTATCCACGATAACTCCAAGATCTCTTTCCTGATTTGTCGTAGCCAAATTAGCCCCCCTCATACTATATGTATAGTTGGGGTTATTTTTTCCAACGTACATTACTTGTCATTTATCCACATTAAACTTCATTTGCCATTTTATTGCCCAATCACTTAGTTTTGTGTGATCTTTTTGAATTTCTTCTGTCTTGACTATCTTGAACAGTTTAGTATCATACGCAAACTTTACCACCTCACTGCTGCCCCTTTCTGTAGATCGTTTATGAATAAGTTTAATAGAATTGGTCCTAGGACTGACCCTTGGGGTACACCACTAGTTACCCCTCTCCATTCTAAAAATTTACCATTTATTCCTACCCTTTGTTTCCTGTCTTTTAACCAATTCTCAGTCCATGAAAGGACCTTCCCTCTTATCCCATGACAATGTAATTTACACAAGAGCCTTTGGTGAGGGACTTTGTCAAAGGCTTTCTGAAAATCTAAGTATACTATGCACCCACCTTATAGTAGCCCCATCTAGGTTGCATTTCTCTAGTTATTGATAAGAATACAATGTGAGACCACATCAAATGCCTTAGTCAAGTCTAGTTATACCACGTCCACTGCTTCTCCTTTATTCACAAGACTCGTTATCCTATCAAAGAAAGCTATCCGATTGGTTTGAGATGATTTGTTCTTTACAAATCCATGCTGGCTGTTCCCTATCACCTTATTATCTTCCAGGTGTTTGCAGATGAATTCCTTAATTATCTGCTACATTATCTTTCCTGGCACAGAAGTTAAACTGACTTCAGCCCTGGGCAGCAAGACTCAGGTTACAGTCCCACTACTTACCCCCTACTTACCTGCTTTATCCGGAAAGAGCCTCTTCAAACGCCAGCGATCAAATGGGATGTCAGTGGGAGGCCTACACAGAGAGAGGCCTGTAATGCAAGGCCAATCTCTCTTCCCCACTGGGCAGTGAAATGAAACAGTTTGGCTACAGTTTGGTGCCCTGCCCAGGTGATGGGGACTCAGGCCTTGTCTTTGACCCACCTCACCTGGGATGATACAGCTCAGACAGACTCAGGTTTCAGTCCCCCTGCTTCCTGGGGTTGTGTAGTAACTTCAGGGGGTTGTGGTGCCATGAAATATGCAAACCCCTGGACTCAATGATCACAGTGGTCTCTTCTGGGCTTAGAAGCTAGAAATGAAGAAGTGAAAAGCAGAGTTCTGGCCCCCAGCCTGGGGAGCAGGGTCTCACTAAGCCAGGCGCTGTGCACTTCGACAGCTGGGCAGTTTGGAACAATCCGTCTTAGTGATGGAGCCAGTTACAGCCAGGCCCGCACCACTCTGTATAATCACCAGGTCTTGGGTGGACACAATCACAAGTCCCACATGCTTCTAAGCCAGCTGAGTCAGGGCAGAGTCTAACGTCCGCTCCTAGCTCTGGGAGTGCAGGGCCCACCCCATGGCTCAGACCTCTTGTCTGAGATGGACCTTCGGGACTGCCCACTTGTCCTATGAAACCAATAACAGTCTCAGGAACCAGCCACGCCCTCCCACTTGCTTAGACGCGCTTCCCTGGAGCCCCACACAGGCTGCAGTGGTGCTGGGCTTCTATTTTAACCCCTGTAGGAGCAGCGGGCAGCAATGGGCCTCGGCTACTGAGCGGACCTCATGAGCGGGCCTCTTTGCCGCAGTGGCTGCAAGACTGTCGTAAGGAGGGTGGTCTCCCGGTAGGGTTGCCAGATGGTTGAAACAAAAATACCGAACACCTGCCCCCCCAAAAAACCGGGACGAAGGGGGAAAAAGGGGGGGGGGGGACCAAAGTTGCTGAGCAAAAAAAAAAAGAGAGTGCAGGGATAGGAGCAGGGGAGCGGTTGAGCACTAAGACCCAGGGGAAGCATTGCTTCCCCTAGGTCTTTTGGATGGCAGCCTTGGGGAACCAGGTAAGCTCGGGGGCTGGGGTTGGGGGTGTTGGGAGCCAGGCGGGGTTCAGAGGGGAGGCCGGGCACTGAGTGTTTGTAGGGTTGCCAGGTGCCTGGCATTTTCGCCTTCTGGCCGGGAAACATTCAGAGAATACCGAACAGCTCAGGACAGCTCAGGCGTCCAGGAGTCTCTGAATTTTTTACCAGACAGGAGCTGAAAATACCAGCCTGTCCGGGTGAATACTGGACACCTGGCAGCCCTACTACCGGGACAGGGCGGTTTTGCTCACTGCGCTTGCATGCTGTGACGGCGCGTTGGGGGTCCCCCGTCTCCTGCACCCCGAAATGGCACAAACAGACTCCACCAGCCAGTGGAATTGAGGGTGGTTTATTGCTTCTCCACTATACAGCGTAGCACAGATGTAATCTGGTTACAGGAACTGGGGCTAAGAGGCCTCAGTGCCCCCTTGAGATGGGGGGATCCCAGCACCCTCCCCAGTTCCTTCTTCCCTGCTTTCCCGACAGGAACTAACTCCCCCTCTCCAAGCCCTGCCCCCAGCCAGGGCAGCATCCACCTCCCTTTGTTTCTCCCCATGGGGGGTTGGCTGGTTCAACCGGTATGGTACCTTTGCATAATAAGGTTTTCCCTGCTGGGTCTTGCTCCAGACAGCAGAGGTCACCACAGCCCAGCAAGTACCCCCACTACGTCACACATGCCTAGAGTTGCAGGGTGCCCTGGGCCGTAGCAGCGCTGCGATTGGATGCAGAGAGAGCGCACAACTCCTACAATCAGTGCCACATGCAATCAGCACGCACCTCCCTTCACATGCCCTGGCTTGACATGTATGTCTAGGGTTGCCAGATGGTTTAACCAAAAATATCGAACACTTCCCCCCCTTCCCTTTCCAAAAAAAAACACCGGGGAAAAAATTCTGTTGAGAAAAAAAAAGGGGAGACCAAAGTTGTTGAGCAAAAAGGACCCCAAGAGTTGTTAAGCAAAAAAACATTTTTAAAAACCAGCATGGCCCCTTTAAGAAATGCTTTTGAGGGTTTTTGGCCCTAACAGGCTGCCAGCGGCCGCCCACCTTCTTGTCTCCCTGTTCTGGGCCAGGCAGCTCCCCCGCAGAACCAGGTAAGCACCCGGGATTCTCGCCTCCTGGCCGGGAAAAAAATCAGAAAATACCACGGGGACATTTCGGTGTCCGGTGTTCTCTGACTTCTCTTACCGGCCAGGAGGCGAAAATACCGGACTGTCCGGGCCGGTCCCGGACACCTGGCGCCCTACGTAGGGGTGTCACTTTAGTAATGCTGGTAGGAATAGAGTGATGCAGATGGAACCCAGTGGAATCGGGCAACAGTAAACACAACTTCTCGTGGGCCGCACACAGGATCCCAATGGGCCACGTTCAGCCCTTGGGCCACAGGCTGTCCACCCCTGCTAGAAGGGCAGAAAAGCAAGGAACACAGTAACAGGGTTTCTTAACCATGGAAACTTTACTCTGACAGGCGGAAGATACCCCTTGTCCTGCTCTCAGCTCTCCCCTGAGTCTGGGGTTCAGTGCTGCCCTCTCTCTCCTTCCACCCCTTCTTACCTGTGGTTGTGTCCAGGCCCCTCTTACATAGCCTATCCCATTGCCATGTGCACCATAGGGATGCTCCAGCCTCTCCTCCAGCTATAGGTTCCGGTGTAAAAAACATCAGTTTTTAGGGGTGGAATTAATCCTAGCAAAAAGTCATTAATGGCTCCAGATTGCAGCCTTGTAGGCTTCTCCAGGATAGTCCTTCAATCCCATTCCCAGAGAGGGTGTTGCCTTGAAAGCAATAAGTTCAGTGCCTAACACAAACTGGAGCTCATATCTGATACAGATTTAACCTCGGGCCCTGCACCCAGCTGAGGAAATCTGCCAGCCCTGCCCTGGTTTCACCCACCATTGCGTCTGGGTTTTGATTTCAGAAAAGGAACTGGATACTTTTAGCCAAGCGTGAGCCGCAGAGCGTAGGCCCAAGCTGGAGCATCACAGTGAATTCCCACTACGTCATCATACCCTCCGACTCCTCCACGCTACTCGTCAAAGCCATTGCAGTCAGAGAACTCCTGCTGCCATGCAGTGTTCCAGCCCTCCCTTCTGGCCCTCCAGAGACCGCGCTCAGAACCATAGAGGTAAGTCAGAAATGGCCGCACACAAGTTTAGATAGCAAGAGGCAGTGTAGCTTCTGCATGCACAGGGCATCAGTTCACCAGCAGGGATGAGACATGCAGACATAGACATGTTCCCTACCATGTTCAGGTATCTAAAAGGGTGTTACAAGGAGGAGGGAGAAAACTTGTTCTTCCTGGCCTCTGAGGGTAGGACAAGAAGCAATGGGCTTAAACTGCAGCAAGGGAGGTTTAGGTTGGACATTAGGAAAAAGTTCCTAACTGGCAGGGTGGTTAAACACTGGAATAAATTGCCCAGGGAGGTTGTGGAAGCTCCATCTCGGGAGATATTTAAGAGCAGGTTAGATAAATGTCTACCAGGGATGGTCTAGACCCATGGTCACCAACCAGTAGATCGCGAGCTACCGGTAGATCTCAGGGGCTCTAAGAGCAGCTCTTGAGCCCTCTCTGAACTGCGCGCCTGTGCAGTACATTTACATTAGATTTCCTCATTTGAGGAGCAGCTACTCACTGAGCAACAACACAGGTGAGTAGCTGCGAGGAATGGTGGGAGCTGGGAAATCGGGAGGGCTGAAACACCCCAGCCAGCTGACTGTGGCTTTCACAGCTGGAGCTAGACGCAGCCTCCCTGGGCTGAGCGCAGGGCAGCCGGGCTGGAGGGGAGAGAAGCAGCCTCCCGGGCAGCTGGCCCTGGGGCT